CCCTCCATAAGTTTACAAGGATTGGCACTCTTAGGAGGTGTGGCCTTGTTGGAGGAAATGTGTCACTGTGCGGGCAGGATTTAAGGTTTCCTATACTCACCCACAGTCCATTTTTCTGTTGCCTTCTGATAACTGTTGAAATAGGAGCGGCGGCAGGGCTGCGTCCCCGGCACCCGGCCGCCCGCATGGCTAGCTTATGCCCAGAAATAATTACACGGAAACTGTATTCTTTCAAACACTGCCTGGCCCGGATAGTTCCAGTTCCTTATGGCTAGCTCTTACATATTGTTCTAACCCATTTCTAATATTCTGTGTAGCCCACGAGCTGGCTTACCAGGGAGGATCTTAACCTGCGTCTGTCTGGAGCGGGAGAACCATGGCGACTCCTCACACAGCTTCTTTTTCCCAGCATTCTCCTCTGTCTACTCCGCCTACCTAATTTTCTATCCAATAAAATGGGCCAAGGCAGTTTCTTTATTAATAAGAAATCACTCCCACATCATTTCCCCTTTTTCTGTTTAAACAAAAAAGAAAGGCTTTAACTTTAACATAGTAAAATTACATATAACAAAACAGTTATCAAGTAAGAATTACAGTTACAATATTTATATCTATTTTATCTCTTATCATAACTAAGGAAAACTATAACTAACCATTCTTCAACTCCATCAAAGACTCCAGAAGGATATAATATTACCTATCAAACAAGAAATAAGAAAACTCTAGAAATGACAGAGACATCTCGCTGCCTGGACAGTCACCCAAAGTTCCTCTGTACCGTTGGGGCATCCATCTTCGGCCTACAGGCCCATAGTATCCAGCAGACATTCTCATCAAGCAAGAAATTCCAAAGACAGTTCAGTCACTTTTTGCTGTGTCCTGCAGAATGTCTCACAGACTCTTTCATGAAGCAGGAACCCCAAAAGGTCATCTCACCTTTAGGCAAGTTCAGCAGTCCTCTCTCTGCGGGTTCTCTGTGTCCAGTTTATGCAACAGTCCAGGCAAGAGCAGTTTCTTGCCCAAATGGCTATCAAACTCCATAAGGATTCTCTTCGATGCCCATCTTCCTCTTGAAATAGATTGGTGCTGCCAGGAGCAAATGTGTCTCATTGTCATGAAAAACCCTAAGTTATTAAAATATCTTAAATGCCATATTCTGCAGCCTTTGAAAGATATGAAGAATGCCTATCTAACTAAAATATCTCTCTATATATCTAGAAAATCTAACTAACATGACTACAAGCTTAAGTATTAGCGATGATTATCCATTAACAACCTATATTTCCTAATTATACATTACATTTTTAAATGAACTACACAATCACAATACCTTAATCAAGATCAAAAATACATATACATATAACAAAATTGACCATAAAATCCATACCAATGCAAATTATTCATATCTATATCATATCCCCCTTTAAATGTAAAAGAACATTTATAAACAATATTTGGGAACATGGGCGTAGTTTTTTCTCTACAAACTGCTTCCTGCTGAATAGGGGCGTCGTTAATTAGGTTGTTCATGATATAACCTGTATGCTAGTTTCATCTCAGTTGGCAATTGAGCGAAGCAATTTTTTGAGGGTATTCACAGCAACCTTTCAGGAGGGCGTGGTCTATCATACCAAATCGGAATAGATGCAATCCACAGGGTCTCATCCTCTGCAAAAACAAAAGAAGACCCTCTCCAAAGCATCATATCCTTAGACCCAAATTCTGAAATCATAATACCCTTATATCCATTTTGGTTTAGCTTGGCAGCCCATGTAATGAAATGTCTCTCTGTACTTAGCTCCTTCACAGTCAAAAATTTTAAAGAAAACACAATGTACATAATCCAGACTCTCTGTGAATTTTCCATTTTTACGTGGCTTATATTTACTTTATTTCTCTTAATCTATAACTATCTGTACTCTGTCTCTTTAAAGACTTTATCCCCTTTTTTTTAAGGGCATTAACTTTATTCTTTCTCTCTCTATTTTTTTTTTCTCTCTCAAGCCTACGTACACTCATCCAACATTGTGATCCATTTAGTGGTCTGTCTGAATCTGTTTTATTGTGAATCTGTAATTTTTTCACTATCCAGGAGCATTTCTTAAAATGTTAAACAGTTCTTAAAAACTTAAGTTGCACCATGTACAGGTAATACGGTACTGCCTGTGTCCTGCCCAGTCTAAACCTTAACTGCACGGTTTTAAGGTAATTACGGTAGTTCCTGCCTGAGACCAGCACAGATCAGCATGGCAGAGCTGAGCCAAGCTGCTCCTGCCTCAGAGCCATTTGGTGCCCCTGAGCCACCACAGTTCCAGGCACACAGCAGTCCACATTGGAGCCGCAATCAGCAGTTTAACTCTGAGACTGAGTGTGCAGCACAGAAACTCTTTTCATCCAAGTTACAGCCAAATCTGACACGCAGAGCACTGCGCAGTCTGAAAATGCGTCTCTGTATGGCGGCAGGAATCCGCCATGCTCTTCCGCCTGCCTAAGCCTGATTCTGCCGTCTGCCCAGGTGCAGGCGGGAAGCGCTGAGCCATCGGCACAGTCTCAGAGCACTCTCCTCCGATCCCAAGCGGGAACACAAACATCCAGTCCCATAAAAGCCTTGAAATGCTTTAAAGCCAGAGTTCACGCTGGCAGCATAGCTCCAGGAAGCAGCGCTTTAAAATGACGCGGCTTTTTTTTTTTTTTTTTGCTGTTGCTGAATCAGGAATCTCTCTACAGAACGCCACCAACAAAACAGCAAAAATCTGTGTTAAACTCTCTCTCCCTTATTTTTAAGCCTTCTCAGGTTTTTAAGTGGATTTAGCCATCACGTCTGGGCGCCATCTGTTGAAATAGGAGCGGCGGCAGGGCTGCGTCCCCGGCACCCGGCCGCCCGCATGGCTAGCTTATGCCCAGAAATAATTACACGGAAACTGTATTCTTTCAAACACTGCCTGGCCCGGATAGTTCCAGTTCCTTATGGCTAGCTCTTACATATTGTTCTAACCCATTTCTAATATTCTGTGTAGCCCACGAGCTGGCTTACCAGGGAGGATCTTAACCTGCGTCTGTCTGGAGCGGGAGAACCATGGCGACTCCTCACACAGCTTCTTTTTCCCAGCATTCTCCTCTGTCTACTCCGCCTACCTAATTTTCTATCCAATAAAATGGGCCAAGGCAGTTTCTTTATTAATAAGAAATCACTCCCACATCAGATAACGACATAGCCAGCACCATGTCTGCCTGCTCCCCGCCATGATGATAATGGACTAAACCTCTGAACTGTAAGCGAGCCACCACAATTAAATATTTTCCTTTATAAGAGTTGCTGTGGTCGCTCACATAGTCTCGAGTTGGCATCGGCCGGGGAAGGCGGGGCTGGGACTCACAGATGGCCCCATTACCCCAAGCAGAGCTTGTTCGGATACCGCTGCAGCTGTACTATTACGTGTTGCATTGTTGCCAGCAGCTGCCAACCAATGGCATCCAGGACCACTAAAAGCATGCTGTCAGGCAGGGTTTGCGGGCTCCCCGAGAGCATCCTGCAAAGTCATTGACGATATCAACTGGATCACGAACAAGTACAGAAAGCAAAACTGAGACTCCAGAGCTCACAGCATGACTGTCCTGGAGACATTTAGAACTGAGAAGTAGCTCAGCTTTTGCAGCTAAGCAGCAACAGCAGCAGCACAGTTCTGGAATTCTTTGACATTGTTGGCTGAAAGCAAGAACTCATAGCTGATGTTTGGTCAGGTGGCTCTTGTCAGAACAGCCATGTTTCCAGCATCTTTTTGTATACTCTTCCATCCCAGAATGATATCCAGTTTGGGGAGAACTTGCTGGGTTTTTTTTTCCTCCGTCTTCTCTGTGTTTCTCATTTTTGTCTGTTCTTTTACACTGCTCTGAAGACAGTTAATTTATTCTGGAGGTCCCTGTACCGTTCTCCGAGTCCCAGAGCAGATGTCCCCTCAGACGGCCGCCTGTGCACAAGAAATAGACTGGGCTTGAGAACCAGGCAGCTGCGGATCTGAATCCCAGCCAGCGTCCACAGCTCCAGGTGCTGCCTGGGTGAGCCTGGCTGAGGTGCCGATGGTGTGTCCATTACGTCCCGCGTAGGGATGAAGGAAGCCACTGTGCTGCCCTTCCCCGGCTCCAGCTCTGTCTCCCATACACCGCATCCTCTCTCAGTGACTTGTCTGTCCTGTGCTGTCTCAAAGCCCCACCGCCTCCAGCTGTGCTGTGTGGTGTCCAGCATTCTGCTAAGGGGCTGCTCCTCCTCTTACTGTCCCTCCCAACAAGCTCCAAGCAGAAGCTCCTGGCCCTCGAGGTGGTGAACCGTATACCAACCACATGAGACTGGGAAGAAAAAAAAAAAAAAGTGCAAGCAGCCAGAGTAGACGCCGCCGGCAGGTCCAGGCTTCTGTGACTCCACAGTCCCAGGGAAGGAGAGAAGGGAAGAGAGAAGGGAAGCAGGTCCAGGGAGAAGCGGCCCAAGTGGGTAAAGTAGCTGGAAGATAGAGAATCCACACTGAGAGTTGAAAATTCCCGGGGCACTCAGCCAACAGGATGAGTTAGTGCCTGCGTGTGTCCTTGCAGCTATACGAGTTGGCGTGATCCCTGTCTACACAGAAGTGCTTGGCGATACTGAAGCGTGTGTGCCCGTTTGTGAAAGCTCACATTTTCCTTCCCTCTCTTTTTGTTTATTTATTCTAGATAGGATCTCACTGTGTAGCCCCGGCAGGCCTTGAACTTTTGAACTTTCAGCAATCCTGTCTCTGCCCGCCAACCACTTAGATTATAGGTGTACCCCACAAAAAAAGCAAAACCAAAAAAAGAGTTGCCATAGTCATGGTGTCTCTTCACCGCAATACAAACCCTAACTAAAAGAGACTCATATTGACGCTTGTTATTTTATACATTTCAAGAGTACCTGGAGAAATTAATGTTTGATAATATTTATTGAATCAATGAATTAACATTTAATTTTTAGTTAATTCAAGATACAAATTCAGCTATTCGTGGTGTTGCCTGCTTATACTTCTAGTAATTGGAAGGCTGAGACAGAAGGATTGCAAGATAAAGGACAATCTGGCTACATAGTAAGGCCCTGTCCTGAGCGCTAGTGTCTCCTCCAAAGGACCCAGGTTCAATTCCCAGCTCCCATAGAACGGCTCCTAACTGTCTGTAACTCCACTTCCAGAGAATTCAGCGCTCAAACAGACATACATACAGGCAAAAACATCAATGCACATTACAAAACAAAATGGCGTGCAGGGCTGGAGAGATGGCTCCGTGGTTAAGAGCTCTGGCTGCTGCTGCAGAGAACCCAGATTCAGTTCCCAGCAACCTCATGGTGGCTCACAACCTTCTATAACTCTAATTCCAGGGGATCTCACCCCCTTTTCTTGGCCTTCTCGGGTACCAGGAATAAATGTGACAGACATACATGCAGGAAAGCAAAACACCTATATACACAAAATAGAAATAATAGTTTTTTAAAGTCATATGTACTCACAGTTTAGGTAAATTTATAGTAATAGCTTAAAACTTATAAAGATCAAAACAGCAAATAGCAAAAAAAGTTATCATTTTTCTAAATGTTAATGAGTCGCTTCAACAATATAAAAGATTCGAATTATAAAGAGGTAAAATTATGGAGTAATAAAAATATTTTACCTAAATATTGATGCAAGCTTCTAATATTAAAACTTCTCTCTTATGATTTGTTTCTCAAGAGTTTTTGCTATGAGCTCAACAATCTCTTCTAAACCCCACTGAAGTTGTTTGAAATATAGTTCTCTCAAATGTGAGGTGTTTGGACTATGACATTCGTCATCCCGTTGTTTCCAAAGGTTGACGGAGCTGATCTGGCTGGGTAGGCAGATGTCCTCTTTCTCCATTGCCATTCTGTGTGTATCCTTCTGAAATCTGTCAGTGACTCCCTCCCCCTACAAAGGAAGACCGTGATTCAGCTAGGTATGCAGAAGAAGCTACCATGGCTAGAACCTCTCAGACGAGCTTTCAAGGTAACAGTTGTCTTCATTTTCTAAATGGAAAAGGTGGCCGTGCGAATGAAGGAATACAATCAGGGAGCAGGCTCATGAGGAAGGCACGGACATCAAAGTGGAGACGATTAAACTTACCCACGGGAAAGGCAGAGAAGAAGATGGGAAAGGAGGACCTGTATAGGACTCCGGTGTGTGAGGTTTCCTAGGATGCTGTATCTTCATTGTCGACTTGACTTTATTTAGAATAACCACGGAAACGCACCTCTGAACGTGCCTATGATTCCCAAAAATGTTGAACTGAGGAGGGAAGACATACCATGAGTGTGGGCAGCACCATTTCATGGGCTAGGATTGTGGACTAACTATAAAGAGAAAGGCGAGCTGAGCTGCAGCGCTCATCACTCCGTTTCCTATCTGCAGGTGCCATGTGATTCGCGGTGAGTGCTCCCACTAACACGCCTCCCTGCCGGGACGGACTGCACCCTTAACCTGGAGCCCAAACGAACTCTTTCTTAAATTGCCTTGTCAGGTATTTTGGCATTGCAACCTTGAAAAGCAACTAACACAATCCCCCAGCAAGTGTTTGATCCCGTTTAGAACCTTTTCACACTATCCAAACCGTCGTGTCCTGGAGTCTTTCCAGGATTCAGCATCTTCAGCTCCTCCACGAGAACAGGATGGCTGCGCTCTCAGCAGGCCTTCTCTGTTTAAGGACGTATGTCCTCTTCTTCCAGTTGAAACGTTACAGAAAACTTGGGTCTCATGGCTAGTTAACCAAAACTTAAACGGCAGCCTCTCTTCTGCTTAAAGGAGTTGGGGAAGGAAACTGGAAACGGAGAAAAAAGGACAGGATCTGAAATGTTACCGAAGTAACTTCTGGGACACGGTTCGAGCATCCCACCCTCTATGTCAGCCACCCCACACATTCTTTCTCAGGAACTACTTGTGGGGCACCTACTTCGTTCAATGGATAAGTCCCTGAAAATATCAGTAGCAACTAAAACAGACAGAAATATATCTGCCCCAAGAAACTGACACTCTGTTTTCTTTTAAAGTAATTGAATATATAACATGCTACACAGAAGTTGGGTCCGGGGAAGCGTACCTGTATTCTTATTACTTGGGAAGCTAAGATAAGAGGACCACAGTTCAAGGCCCGCGTGAGCAACTTATGGAGACCTGTTTTGAAACTTATTTGGAAAAGGTGGAGGGAATGAGCATGAATGTAGCAACCTCTAGTACTGCCCCCCCCCCCAAGGAAAGATAAAAGAAACATAGTAGATAGTACTCTGGAAAAAGGAGAAAACGTAAAACGGGGCAAAGGTATGGAATGTGATACTGGGTTGAACTATTAGGGACTCTAGGAAAGAAGCTGTGGATTTGGATGCTAAGACTTGGTAGAGAACACCAACTCACACCCTGACTTTCTCCAAAGCCCCTGAGCCCTAGTTCTTAACTGTGCAGTTTCACAGTGACCTGAAAGTCCCTGAGGAAGCCAGACTGCAGTAAAGGTTGCATCGCCTGCTTGCCTTCAGCCGAATGGAGTACAGGGATTGCAGAGAGCTGGGCTGCTACAGATTCAGAACCCAGACTGCCCTGGACTCTGGTCTTTTTTTTCTTGCCCTGTCTCATTAACCTCGTTAGCTGACCTAACGTCCTCTTCACTTTAAGATAATAACTCTTGGGATGTAGGGCTAAACTGGACTCACCTGGCATCCTCAACCCTAAATGAGAGAGAGTCAACTCCCTTTTCTGAGACTTACATACATGTAAACTTTCCCATAACACAAGTTGTCTAGAACAACTCTGATTCCCGTTCACTCATAGTTGACTCAGAACAAATTTTTCCAAAGCTGTGTTGGTATTTTTTTATGTCAATACCTTTCAATGCTCATTCTTTATTTTGAGGGTTTGAGCAAACCTCCTAAGTTTTCTGTTTTGAATGTTACTTTCTTTGAAATGAGAATGACTATCCTTAACTTGTAGAGGGTTGATGAAGTAATACAAAAGAACTCACTAGGCACTAAGTTTTAAAGATTCTCTTGAAAAAAAAAATCCTTTCTGCTCTTTGACTTCAACACCGAAATGAAACTAACGATGCTAGACTACCTCACTGGCTTGTGGTGAGAACTAGATAGGACCCAGCACAGAGCTCCTCACGGAAGGAGCAAAGGTGTGATTCTCGCTCTGTTGCCATAGCTACTAGGTACTGTTGCTACTTTCTTACAAATTGCATCAGCAGCCTCACCGGGGAAATAGCCATTGGTACAAGATAGTATGACCCTGAAGGCATGAGTAGCTATCTAATATCTTAGTATAAAAGAAGGAGAGGCAAGCAAGATCCTCTGCACTTGGGGCTTGGGATGTAGCTCACTTGGTAGAATGCTACTCTATCATCCACAAAAGCATAGGCTCAATGCCCACTGATGCATAAACCAGGAGAGGCAGGTAAGAAGATCAGATATGCAAGGTCATCTTCAGCTACATAGCAAGTCTAGGACTAGCATGGGCTTCAGGAGACCCTATCTATCTGAAAATAAAGAGGAAGGGAAGAAGAAGGGGGAATAAAAAGGACAAAGAGAAAAAGAGAGGGGAGGGGAGGAGAGCACAGTGGCACTGAGAAGGAGTGGGGAGAAAACGCGGGAGGAGTTGCTGTAAATGGGGATTTTACGGGGTGAGGGAACTGTGGTTATTCTCTAAGGACAAGCCAGTGGAGAAACAGCTTGAAAAGAAGGTTCCATGAAATTAAATTTGTTTAGTAGCAGCATGAATGCCTGTCTGTTACGTCTCCAAAATCTTTAGCAAACAATTACACTCCTAAGGGTTTTATGATTCCTTCATGCAAATTTGGGGAAGAGTTTGATGAGCCATGAGTGACCAGGAAAATATTAATTCCATGAGAATTTGGAGAAATCTTACAGGACATGGACATGGTGGGAAGGGAGGGAGGCAGGAAAGAGGGAGGAAAACACAGGATCGATGGAAGGAGAGAGAGACTGTGCGTGTGTGTTTGGACAGGGGAAGGGCTTAGGCTCATAGCAGAACCTAAAGCTCATACAATAGTGAGGCCTGGGTAAGCAGTCTGTGTGAGTCCATTATTCTACAGCCAAAGCAAAGTGGCGGACCAAGGTGTACAAGTCAGTCAGAAAGGGAAGATGATACACAGCTCTTAACTTGTAGATGTGATGTTACAGACCTACCTGCATCTCACCAAGAAGATGAAGTGATTCACCTTCATCTCTATCCCAGTAACAGTAAGAACCAAAACAGCCCCCATCGGGCTGGAGAGATGGCTCAGTGGTTAAGAGCATTGCCTGCTCTTCCAAATGTCCTGAGTTCAGTTCCCAGCAATCACATGGTGGCTCACAACCATCTGTAATGAAGTCTGGTGCCCTCTTCTGGCCTGCAGACATAAATAAAAAAAAAAAAAAGCCCTCAATGCCAGATGTGGCTGGAGCCCTCCTGGCACCGGGTTCTACATCTTTTTTAGGTCCCAAGAATGGGAAGAAACAGCTGTGCAATCTAAAAGGCATCAGCCGCCAGGACCCTCCATTCTTTGAGAGACTTAAAATTCTGAGTACTGTGACTAGGGCTGGCAAGATGGCTCACTGGGTAAAGCATTTGCGGCCAACCCTGACAGCCTGAGTTTGATCCTGAGGCTTCACATGATGGAAGCAGAAAACTGGCTCTCACGGGTTATCTTCAGATCCCCACGTGTTTCCAGGAGGTAATGAAGCTCACTGCCTATCTTTGCTCAAGTACAGCCACAGGCTGAAGCCTCCGAAACCATTTAATAACTATGGCAATGAAAGCAGAATCACTTACAAACCTCCTTCCAAGTTGTTTGTGTCTGTTATTTCATCAAAACAGCATAAAAGTAACAATGAATGCATAAAAGTAAGTAGAACGTAAAGTATATAAAAAAAAAAGAAAATCACAGAGTCATTTAACGTGACTAATGTATGGCATACAATATGGAAAAGCAAGAATACAATTCAAGTGGGCAGGTTGGAAGCCACACCAAATAAAATTAGAAGGATAATCGGGAACTTGAACACCTTCATAAGGAATCTGAAATGTTTGTAGGCAAACAATGAAAAGAGTTTGGGGAGAACATGAAACACACTGATGAGCTAGCTTATAAAGGTTTAAGGAGAGCAAGCTTCCACGACTGTATATTTATTTTCAACCTAAAGTATGAGATAAAAGGTTTGTTAGTCTTTTTAAATCAAAGGTAATATATAGTCATTGGGCCCCTTTTTAATTCTTTTCTTGACGATGAAAACCTGGGATGGGATAGAGGCACTGGAAGAGATTGCAAAGACAAAAGTCCTGTTGGCAGCTAGATCCAGAGTTTAGCTTCATTTCTTCAGAGCTGCAGAATGATACGCCTTGTTGGTATCAACTATTGTCTTCTATAGCTTTTGACTGTAGGAACAACCCCCAGTCCATCTGTAGCATCTCAGAAAAAAAAAAAAAGAGCAGAAAGGACAGCACCTAATTTTCTGATAGAAAAAAGTCCATTACAAGGACGGTTGTCCCTGAATTATCTCAATGGGCATCAGTAGAATGAGTACACTTGGGCTAGACAACTCATGAAATGACACATCTGTGCCTCATCCATCAGACCCCTGATAATGTTACCGGCTACAGTGACTGCATAATATTCACATAAAACTTCAGCCTCATGGGAGATAAGAACTCATGTAGTCACATTAGCAATGTTTCCTACTCAAGATGCCTCAGCCTGAGATTGTGAAAGAACAGGGCAAGGTTTAAATTGTTTCTGGAAATATCTACTGCTATATGCATAAATATATATATATATATATATATATATATATATAAGTATCTTAAGTATTTTTTTATTAAAATACTTTCCCTGATCAACCTGAATGTTTAGAGCTGGGCGATTAAGTTGAAAGACAAAGGAAGTTTATCATATACCATAAAGTACGTCTTCCATGGGATGACCTTAAACAAAAATTCTGAATTAGTGGTAGGACAAGCAAGTACTGGTCCTGCCATCTTGCAAAGAAGTTACTGCCCATTCCACAGCTCATGGGAAATTAGCCAATTATCCTGATTGTTTTTCTGTTTTTCTCAAAAGAAACAGAATTTATAACTGAGCCTACTTGGCTCCAGTCGGCTACAATATAAGTGGTAATAGTATTACTAGTGGCAATAGCAAAGATGGTGGCAGCAGTGGTAAATGAGGATGCTGATCACACTTTGGACATACCACTGTCATCTTCTGTGGGCAGAAAAAGACAGAGAACCCCAAGTCTGAATAGAATGGGGATCACTCCAGGAGAGGAAGGAAAGATACATAGACAGAGTTAAGGAGTCAGTATCAGTCAGAGGAGGTCAGAGATGGGTCCTCTTATCGCCCAACTATTCTTTGTCTTTCCAGGAACAAATAAACCCACTCCGCTAGCCTTTTACATTTTCATTTAATCTTTATCACTCCTCAGAACGATACTCTGCCAATTAATTCTTCTCATCATATCCATGGAACTTACATGGATGCTGAAAGCAAATGAAAACAAGTCTCCCCCAGTGGGGAAGCTCGAACGACCTGAGGGGCTCCTGGCAGTAGGACCAGGATCTATTGCTGGTGCATGAGCTAGCTTGTTGGAGCCCATTCCCTATGGTGGGAGCCATGCTCAGCCTTAATGCAGGGGGAGAGGCTTGATCCTGCCCCTACTTAATGTGCCAGACTTTGTTGACTCCCAATTGGAGACCTTACCCCTTGGGAGAAGTGGATGGGAGGTAGACTGGGGAAGGAGGGGAGGAGGGAAAGAAAGAGGGGAGGGACTGTGGTTGGAATGTAAAACAAAATTAAAAAAATAAATTTATTTAGAAGAAAAGAAATCTCCCCCCTAGCAGAAATGTTGGCAGCCTTTAAAACAGGCTCCTCTGACTTTTTCTTTTCTATTTTTGCTGTTTTGTTTTTGGTTTTTGAGGTTTTGCTTTGGTTTGGGTGGCAGCAAATGCTGGGTCTATCTCAAGCTTCCCCTAACTCTCTGCAATCCATGTACATCCCTCCCCAGAGGCCCTGGGGCCTCTGAGAAGTGAGTAGCAAATGGAACGAAAATGGAACAAATGATCCACAGCCCCAGAGCTTCGTTTCCAGAAGCATCTGGTGGCTTCTACCAGATCTCTGAGGCTGGAAATGACAGGAAGCAGTAAAGGCAGCTATGTGGTCCAAGGGGGGGGGGGGGGAACCCCAAAAAAAAAAAACTTACAGACCTGAATGTCTTGCCATTATTAAATTTCCTACTGGACCAGCGTCTCCAAAGTTTGCCAGGTTTTGCCTAACCTCCTCCACATTTAAAAGTCTCCGGAAAACCAGGAAGGCCTTTTAGGGGGGAGATTCATTCACGTTTGGACTCAGGCAAACTTAGGAACCTATGATAGCATTGTCATTATCCTGCCCAGGCATACCACAGAGCAGCCAGAAAGCTCTCCCTCAATGGACACAGAATTTCCCCTGGAATTTACAGAGCAGAAACCTTAAACACATATCACCAGAAGAACCAGATTACATAATGTCTCCAGCACCCTCCTGACAGCTACAATTATGAGTCAATCCTGGTTTAAATATGAAACCGGAAACTCCACATTTCCCTCCCTTGACTATGTGGCAGGCCAAGTTAGAGCTCTCCTGGCCTGTCAGGTTGGAGATCTGAGCTGCTTCCACAGTCACTAATCTAGCAAGAGACCAAATGACCCAGTGATTAAAAGCAGTGCTGCAGAGAGCCCTGCTCCGGGCCAGATGTTGCAGAGCCCGGCTCCAGGCCAGATGTTCTCTTTGCTTAGCCATTATCCACAGAAGGAACAGAAATGCCCGCCCCCCCTCCACCCACCCAAACCCCTTTAAATTCTCCTTTTCTTTATCCTTTCCAGCTAATTTCCGGCTTCTGATCTTTCAATCCCACAAAATAAAGTAAAAATAAAAGCCCCATTACGAAAAGATGGCCTGTTATTGAACACAAGACTGTAAGTTGTAATGCACTCTGCAGTCTCCTCTTTGTACTTCTTAAGGCATTCCAGCGCCGGAGACATTAAGTTACCCTGGCAACCTCACATGACTAAGGCTCCAGAGAGCCCCACCTAGCTGCAGGGACTCATTTAAGTCAACAAGGGCCACCCCTACACTTAGTAGCCCAGAGACTAAGTAAATAGCACTGCTGGTGGGGGAGTGGGGGTTATTTTAGGGACCGAAGACTGCTGAATGAGGCAGCCCCTCCCTTTTCTTTCCCCCAAACACAAGACAAATAAAACTCTCAATCCTACCCTTGAGAGAAGCCTCATTAAGGTCATGGGTCAGCCAGTAAATAAAGGAGAGGTCTTCTGGGCATTTTTCTAGCTAATGGTCAAATTACAAGGCTCTGGGGGGGAAAAAAAGCTAATAATTCATACCTGCAAAAAAAAAAAAGGCAAGGCAACGTGTGATAGAGCTACGATGGTCTCATCAGGTTGGGGGATGCATTTTGCATCTGTCTCCCAGGGTTCAGAGTCTGGTCACTATACTGTAGGCTGCCCCAGCTTTAGAACCGCAGAGGCCTGAAGGAGAGTTCTGGGACAAGGAGAGGAGAGAAACAATCCTCTCTAATTAGTGGCCGTAACTAAATTGCCTTACAGTTTAGGGGAGTTTATTCTCTTTCGAGACAGAGTTTCCATGTGTCCCTGAACCGGGCCTTAAACCTCGTTATGTAGCTGAGGATAAAACCTTGAACCCAGAATCCACTTACCAAGTGCTAAGATGGCTGGTGTGTGCCACCCACCACACCTGGCAGGAACAGCCTACTCTTGCCTGTAGCAATCTCCTCTGGACCATTAATATTTGCCTGCTCATGACCAAGCTGAAAAACAGAAAGTGCTGCTATAAACGACAAGAAACAGGATTACTACAGGATTTAGAGAAAACTCACCAGCTCTGTAGTGTGAGGGGCATTGTTCTCACGCTAGTGTGGGACCTGCCTGCTAGCCCCGGGCCATCTTATATGGGCAGCTCTACGCTGGGTTGTTTGTGTCTCTGTGGTTAAACAGAATGAAACAAGGGGGCAAAGAATCTCAGCTGTCAGGCATGATGTCCGTATGAGAGCAAAATGGGGACCAGACGACAGCCACATGAGACCCCAGGACAAGAGAGGAAGTTCTTACGCACAGCAATGTGCTTGTGTTCAAACTCTACCCTAGTGAATGAGGAAACATCAGGGCACCATTTTGAAGTAGGCTTTCTGCTACCCAGTGCTTGATGTGTGTGTGTGTGTGTGTGTGTGAGAGAGAGAGAGAGAGAGAGAGAGAGAGAGAGAGAGAGACAGACAGACAGACAGACAGACAGACAGACAGACAGACAGAGACTAGAAGAGGGATTTGCATTTGCTTACCAGGCCACCACTTGATGGTATCAATGCATCATTGCCCAGTTATCCTTGAGGCAGGGCATCCTTTTCCATCTCATGTTCATTTGCTTCGTAACTGATTGTGTGTGTATGTGTGTGTGTGTGTGTGTGTATATAAAGAAATTCACATATTCCAGGCCTCAGAAAAAAAAATAGAAGTACAAGATAAGCCTCAAGTAACAATCACCATGGAGAAACACTGATGATTGGACATATGGAGCAGCGTATAGGAGGCAATGATGCTTACTATGCACAGCCATTGCTCTGGTCATCCTGTTTCCATGGCATGCTTAAAGAATGATGGACTGGACACACTCGTTATTGACAGAAAACATGATTCACATTAGCCAGAACTAACCACCCCCAAAGCTGGAAAGAGTGACTCCTTCACCTGAGTGCTCCCCTCTCCTTTGGGTCATTTCAGGAAACACTTGAGACATGTCTATGCTCTCAAAAATATTTCCTAACCTTCCCTTCAAACTTCTCAACATTTCCCTAGCCCAGGATCCTCAGGACTAAAGATCCTCCTTGTGCTCCCTATTTCTTGTTTGGAGTCATAAAGTTCAAATAGATAAACAAACCAAAAACAAAAACCCCAGAGCTTCCAGCTTCGTTCATGCAGTCATGGAACATATCTGCTAAGCACTGACAGGCCTTGTTAAGGATCTCCTCGGAACACAGACTCTTTGCCCCCATTTCCAAAAACAAAACAAAACAACGGAATCCTGAAAGTCAAAGCAGCACAAGCCTGTAATCCCCAGCACTTGGAAGGTGGAGGCAGTCGGATCTGGAATACAATATCATTTTTGACCTCAAAGGGAATCTCAAAAGCATACAACAAACAGAGCTACAACAAAGGGACCATGTTCTCTAGGAAGCACCTGCTGGAGTACAGGCAGACTTTAACAACCAGTCCCAGGGAAAGGGGTATAACCGGAGAACGCAGTGAAATCTTTTTTTCATGCATGTTATGGGGGGGGGGCTCCAGTCCATACACTTGCCACGTGTGGATATGTAAGTGCCCACCTTCAATTTAGAAAGCATTTCGCAAGCACTCCCGTTTTTATGGCTTCAGTTCTCTAGCCTTAAGATTTTTCACTGTAACACACGACGAAAACTGCTTTACCCCCGGAGCAGTTTTGTGAGCCCTCCACAGTCACCCACTTGTCTCCAGGGAGGAAGGAAGAAACACGAGAGTCTCAAAATAGCCGCCCGGTCTTGAGTCTTTCAACATGTACAGGTTACATCACTTCACGGGGCTGGCTGTGACATCACTTCTAGACCTGAACACAACCCGCCACCCCACCGCTGAGAAAATGGAAAATGCTGAGCCACGGCCTCAGGACTTCCTTGACTAGAGGTAATTTCTTGTCCCGCCCAACCCTGACAGCTCGGCAGGTGGGTGTAGAGCCCAGCAATGGAGCCTTTGAAAGCGGGAACCCAGACTCTGCAGGTCAGCTTGCATCAGCTCCAAACTGGGTTCCACCCCGCCACACACCCCCACCCCCTGGTGACAAGCAATCTGTTTATGGGGACGCTTTTGTGAGGTTACAGAATCTCTGCATGAGAGGGAGCTGGTTCTGGCCTGGTCTCTAGGTAACCCGCCACACCAAGGTGCACAAACACGGTAGGGCCGAGAAGGGGGGGGGGGGGATAAAAAGAGAAGCTGGCCGACCCGGGCCCCCTCCCGGGCCGCCGTGAAACGCGCTTTAATTGCTTCAAAGAACCCTTCTCAATGGGGTTTCAGAGGCGCGGGAGCGGGTCCCGGCGAGGGCTCCTTTCCGGCTGGCCAGCATTCCTGGGCGCTGCGAGGAGAGAGCCCGCGGCTCATTTCCATGCCTGTCGCATACTGCCTCCGTTGTGCCTGGCCGGGCCGCGAGGGGAGCGCGGCTGGCAGCGAACAAAGCCCCATTCATCCCCGAGGACGGCTTCCTCCCGGACCAGCCGCGGCCGCAGATGGGCTGGCTAGGGCATGCCATCCATCCCCAGGCTGGGGAGCAGGGCCCCGCCCGCGCACAGAGTGGTGATGTAGGGCGCCCCCGGGCTGCGGTACCCAGGCCTCCGCGGCAGGGGAGAGGCTGGGCCGGGACAGGCAGACACTGAAGCTTTTCAGCCGGGAAATCCCGTGTCCTCGCCGGCTCCTTGAGAGCAAGGATGTCAGTTTCCACCGCCCTCTTCCCTACTCCAGCCCCTTGGGATGGTACGGTCCGTCTACCCACTTGTGAGGAGACTTTGTTTCTCCTCTGTGGCCTCTGCAGTCCCCACGAAAGGGGTCACTTCCTGACTTTTGTGTTTCTTCAATCCAGTGCCTTCAAAGTTCCTCCCCTCTGGTTGTGACTAAGTACATAATTGCGAGGCTTATCCATACGGTTTTCCAGAATTCAAACATCCCTCTGGGCTAAAGTCTGGGGTTGGGGCTTCGCAATTAACGTCGTTTGTTGTTGTTTGTTTCTCTCTCCTCTGCACTACTGCTGGGGCGCGGAGGGGGGGAGCGTGGGGGAGGCGGGTGTATGTGCAAAGAAAACGCAGTTCTGCAACCGTGCTTGCAGACTCCCAGAGCTTTTCCTTCAGTCCCACGTGTTAGACCAGACCAGGGAAAGCTACAGAACTCGAACGTTGACCAGAAGCGAGTCCGGGTCACTTTTCCTTCACACTGAAGAAGCCCCTCCAGGCTGGCTTCCACAGCCCAAGGCAGAAACAGGTTCCAGACACATTCCTCCCCAGCGGATGCAACAGGGCATGGCAGGATCAAACAGCCACCAGACACAGGGGAGACTGGCCCCAATCTATCCATCTTACAGATAAGAAGCAGATAAGATCTGAGAAGGGAAAGGATTTGTTCACCTCAGGCGGAAGCTAGTTCATGGGGGGGGGGGACACGACACCCTCAAACAAGAATACAACGACCATTTTCAAAAAGAAAATCACCGAGAAAAATTATTATTCACCAAGTAGATTTACTTTTCTGCTTGTATCGAAAGAGGCCTCCCCTCCAGTGCGTGAGAATTGCTCCTGAGCTTCTTTTACTTCCTGTGTTTTGAACACCACTGGCCTCTCGCCAAGAAGCCATCTTTCCTCTCCTTCAAAATGTTCACAAGCAGATAGTGACTCTGTACTGGTTATTTCGGAAGATACTGGGGGTGGGGGTGGGGTTCTAAGTGCTTTACACCTCCTCCCTCGTTCCTCACGGCAGACTCTGAATTAGATTCTAGAACTTTCCCCATTTCCCTGAAAAAGAAACCAAAGCTGAGAGAGACAGATTAACCTTTTCAAGATCACACTTAGGTTTCTTGGCCAAAGCTGACCTTCTGATCTCTTCCTCACCGAGGCTTAGCTTACTAAAAGACACTACACAGTCACAGGGCAAGGAACCAAGGCATAGGGAGGTTCTCGGCATTCGCCCTTGCTGCACGAGAGGAGGTGGGTGGCGGAAGGCTCCAGCTACCTGGAGAGGAGAGCCGGCTGAGGACTTGACCATTTACTCGGGAATGTTTCTTCCAGAATACAAAATAGTGAGTTAATCGTGACCCCTTGAACCGCCTTAGCCTTCCAAGGAATGCTCTGGAAATAATACTACCTTGGTTTTCTGTCAGGAAAAAAAAAAAAAAAAAAAAAAAAACAAACCAGTTCAAAGTTCAGACTTACTATTTCCAAGGTATGAGACTTTTGAAAAATTATTTAAGCACTTTAATGGTGTCTCCTCCTCTATTAACCAGAGAAAATAAACACGTTTACCACACTGTTCTTGGCAGGATTTAAACGAGCCGGTCCATATGAATATTCAGCTCTGTGTTTTCTTCATATCAAGTCAGATAGACTACAGCATGTTTAGTTTAAAACAAGATTTCTCTTCGTAACACAGTTACGGCCCACCCCTGTACATGTCCATCCTCAATTCGCTGAAAACGCTACACCGTGTCTCTTCACTGGTTCAGTAGTGATTGCCTCAAACCTTGCTAGTCATCATAGCAGAAGGGACAGGAGAGCGTTGGAAAGTAATCACAGTGGCAATGAGTGGTCAGTCTGGAAATAACCGGATGATATCATTCCTCCACAGCTCTTTATCACTAAGACACGCTCCAGCTACTACCCCCAAGTATGATAAAGCCAGGGCCAGGACCCGTCATTCTGCTCTGTCCCTGTTTCGGGGGACATCAGGCTTTCTTAGGTCTGAAAATGCATTGAGATGAGCATTAATGAGGACCATCAATTAACCCAGCTTTCTTTCCACAGGATAGAAAATAACATTTTTTTTTGAGACCTCCAATGTCGCAGCTAGTCCATGACACTTCACAGAAAGGTCTATCTCCTCAGGAATTGGGTTATGGTGAAAATTCAACAATAGCTTCAGCTACAACAGGCAGCAGAAGTTCTTTCTCCATATTCCACCTTCCCATAAAAGAGCGTAGAGTGAGGTTCCTCTTCTGTACACAAGGCTGAGGATCATGGAGGGAAGGACAGAAAACGTGTGAATAAAAGCAAAGCCAAGTTCCTGACCAGGGAACTAAGACTCCTGTTTGCTCGTCCTGTGTTCCTAGCACTAGTAAAGTAGAGAATCTGAAGCTCAAGGCCATCCTTAGTGAGTTCAAGACCAGCCCAGGGCTACATAAGAACCCATTGTTCTCCAGTACTCAAATTGAAGGAATAAAAGGACTCTTAAAAAGGAGCCATGGTGACAGTGAAGTCCATTGGCAGCCTCCCTCCTCTGTGATCTGATCAGCTGTGTCTTGCAGAAGCGGTTCTGCGCAATTCCCTTGCCTTTGTTCTGGTGTTTGGAGCGCATCTGGAGTTCATTTGACGTCCATTCTTCCGTGTTTGACTTCTGCGTATCTGTCTCCCTTCTCCAGTTATCCTACACCGTACTTTTGTGTGTGTGTGCCCATTCCTGGAGTCTCAGTGCCCTGGTTAGGATGTTCTCTAGAGGTCCGTGCACCTCTAGAGGTGGGAAGGATCACAATGCTGAGTAGGCAGGCAGGGCTTGGGGTGTGTGTGTGTGTGTGTGTGTGTGTGTGTGTGTGTGTGTGTGGCGGGGGTGATGTGGTCCACCCTCATTGAAGGGTAAAGGCTGGTTGTGAAAGCTGGGTGGGGCCCCAACGAATTGCTTCTCGGGGGGGGGGGGGGGGGGGGGGGGGGGGGAACGTACTGAATGCTCCTGAGCTTGATCTTCCTTTCTTATGTGCTTGCCTCTTCCTCCTCTGCTTTGCTATGCAAGAGTCAAGGAGCGGGAATGGGAGGGCCTGACAGAACTGGAGGCTGACTTCTGCTCTGACCTTCCACGTTTTTTTAGAAGGTGGTCTCACATCAGGATCTGGAGTCTCGTGAACCTGTTTTTACTCATTAAGTATTCAGCCTTGGATACTTTGTTACAATTCAAAACAGACTAAGGCATTTAGGTATCTCAGACTTTTAGTCATTGTTAATAGCGTACATATTTTCAAAAGCATAAATCCATGGCTGAGCATAAATCTCCAGCTGCAAATCTAGTTATCTCTCAAGGCTCCCCTCCCTTCCGTCGCTCCATTAAAGGACATACCTTTCGCCCCGGAAAAGCAGCTTGACTCTGGGAAGGCCAAATACAGGTAGCAACTGTTCCACAGAAACAACCTGATTATCTGGTATTGTCCTAACTCCCTGAGCCACAGGCTTTCCCAGGGCAACAGTAAACCAAATTCTTGAAGAGCATTTCTCAAAAGGATAACTAAAACTTGCGATTTCCCCCAATAAGAAAATATAACCCAAAAGTGTCTTGGTGGAAAATGACCGTGTCGGAGCACTTGGGCCCCCCGGTAAGTAAAAAGAGCAGGAACTACCCAAATCACATTAAAAAAACCACCAACAACAACCACCGAGAGAGACCGTCTGAAGATATGGAGATGATAGGAAGCTGCTTTTTTCTATTATAATTTAAATGTTTAGAATGTGGTTCTATCAGTCATGGTCATCCATAAAAATAAATAAATAAAACCGAATCTGGTGGTATAGGCCTGGAATCCCAGCTACTTGGAAGGCTGAGACAGGAGAATCACCATGTTTAAGAACTTCTTGTGGTGCTACAGAGGTAGTCCAAGGCTGGCTGGCTGACTTGGTGAGAGCATCTCAGAATTTAGAAGGATGGGCACGTAGCTCAGTGGAGAATGCTTGCCTACTGGTCCGGAGGCTTTAGGTTCAATCCATAGTATTAAAAGGGGGGGGGGGCGGGATGAGAAGAAAGCCCACAGCTGAAGAGGATGTCTTCCGGGAAAGATGTGTAGCAGCTGCCCTAGAAGAAGGCCCCCGTCCTTGCTGCACTTTGAGCCAGCACCAGCTGCCGGGATGGAGAGGCCACATTTGGGCTCCCCAGGGTTTTCTTTTAGCTGCTTCCTCTGCTTGCAAAGTGGGAACCACCCAGGCGGCTAAGCAAACAATGGAACAGAGTGCATTACCTCCAGCCTGGACCGGGAGGCCCCCTGAAGGCTGAGACCTCCTGCAAAAGGGACTGAACTTGCAGGGAGGGGGGTGGGGAGACGGACTTCAGAGCAAAAGGATTTCAGACCAAAAAACCGTTTAAAAGAAACAGGAAATGAGTCCCTTAAAGCCAAACCATGTGGAAAGACAGGCCACAT